GGCGCTATTTTGCTCGTCATATATATATATATATATATATGTCCGTCCGTCCGTCCGTCTGTGACTTCATGTAACAGAGAAAATGCACTCTCTGTCACTCACTGCAGTGAATACTGATCTATTTTTTAGTTCTATGGCCTGAACACTTAACAATAATCTGGTATTTCAAAGTACAAAGTATCATAGATTAAAATCCGTACCTTGATTTGCACGTGTGTGTCTTCGTGGTAGATAACCTCAAGTCGCACTTCATCGATGTCACCACCAAACATCGTCACCGACCTGTCGCTCTTCACCAGCGTGGACTGACCGAAAAAATTATTTATATGCTTAATCCCATAATATTCGTAATTATGCTTAAATTATCACATAATTCAAGCGACATGTGAAAGCATGACTGGAAAAATTGAATGAAAGCATCAACCGTCTTGTTAAAAATGTGCGTCATAAGCGTTTCTGATTTTGTCCTCCGGCGACAGAGCATTAAAGGAAAAACACTTCTCCCAGGACGTGCTATGGTAAGTACGAATTAAACATCAGATATGTGAAATATGAAATAGTAGTTATTAGTGAAAACAATTTGGAAAGTTCTTCAATTAATGCAAAAGAACTCATCTGGTTTCCTTTAAGAGTTTTCATAGTGTAAACATAATGAAATAGAAGAATACCAATAACATTAATGTCACTACGGTAACAAAGTGAAAGTTATTTATCGTAACGCAAAACAACACGTAGTTAATAACTAAAGTTTTATTGCACTCCTCGTAAGAGGCAAAACACGATTGCAAAATGTATTGTCGTATTTCCAGTTGCAAACAATGTATATTGCAGATTGCCGAATTGTTATTGAATTATTTTGATGTATACATACCTCATTAGGCATTCAAATGCAAACACAAATTCAATAACAGCAATAAGCTTCATTATATTACAGTTCATGTTAGTTTGAACTCACGATGAAGCCACTGAATGCCTCATAGATTTTCAAGCACAAAAACAGATTCAAGAAAAAACCAAAAACTCTATTTCTGTTCGTGTAAGTCTCACGACGAAGCTTCTATATAACTAACAGGTTTTCCAAGTACAAATTCAATAAAACAAAAAGCTTCACTAATGTTCGCGTAAGTTACAATTCACGACGAAGCCCCTGTATAACTAATAGGTTTTTCAAATACAAATTCAATAAAAATAAGCTTCACTAATGTCCGCGTAAGTTATAACTCACAACGAAGCCCCTGTATAACTAACAGGTTTTCATGTACAAATACAAATTCAATTAAACAAAAAGCTTCACTAATGTTCGCGTAAGTTATAACTCACAACAAAGCCCCTGCATAACTAACAGGTTTTTAAATACAAATTGAATAAAAAAAGCTTCACTAATGTCCGTGTAAGTTATATGTACTGAGGAATGTTCATTGCACAGAGGAATGTTCATTGATTCAGAGGAATGTTCATTGCACAGAGGAATGTTCATTGTACAGAGGAATGTTCATTGTACAGAGGAATGTCCATTGTACAGAGGAATGTTCATTGTACAGAGGAATGTTCATTGAACTTATTCACTGGTGCGACGAATATTTGTCGATCCTACTCTGTTTTCGCCTTGGGAAAGAATAAAATCAAGAGACATGTTAATGACAATAGTCATTCATATCCGAAGCGAATAATCCACAGTCGCCCCTTTTACATACATATAATTTCCAGAGAGGAGGAGACATGTTGGGTATTCATAGAGTTACACTCACATGTTATTAATAAAAATTCATTGTGTTCTGTCGTAACAGTCATTGGAATGCCTGTTATTCTATTAGAACGCTTTATTATTCATCGCAATATTGCCTTTTGTTCCGATATTAAAAAGTAATTGATATAACACGCAGAACTCGTCTTTTCCTACCGTTATAAAAAGCAATTAAGTAAAATGAACGAAATAGCATGCAGATATTTTTATTTCCCATTGTTGTAAGAATTACTGGAAGTTTATTTACCAATACTAAAAAATAATTATATGAAATGGATGAAATATCATGCGGATATTTATTTTTCTTATTGTTTTAAGAATTACTGGAAGTTTATTTTTCCGGGCACTGGGCATTCAATGTTAGTGATGGCGCTCTGGGCATAGCACCAGCCCAGGCAGGTGCCCAGCAGCAAGATCGTCAGCTCTCGGCTTCCCATGTCGCACGGAGGAAGGTGGGAAAAGAACAACAGTTTGCCCGTCTCCTTCAACCTTAAGAAGGCTTAATCTAACACCAGGTGTTGAGATAAAAATGTTCACAGGAGGAAAGGGCTCAAGAAAAACAAATATTTACCATGTCATGTATCCCTTGTGGAGATTCAAGTGCTAGACGTTAGATGACGAAATTTGTACTGAGAGGTTCGGGCATAAATTCTAAGCAAATATTATAAAAGTAGTGCCTTAAAACTGATATGGAACTACTGGTGCTGATTAAAAATCGCTTCATTTATGTACATATGTAGTTCAAATTAATGATGGGCTAAATTCTTTAAATGTACTAAATGCATTTTGAATATTTATATGCATATTAAGTCTTAAATTACTTAATTTTGCACTATTAATTCATATGTACGGTAGACGCTAAGGTGACTCAGCCAAACGTAAGATCAGAGCGTGCATCATCACACTAACCAAAAGTACAGTCGACAGTGATTGAACTTGAAACTATACTCAGTAAGCCGTAAATTCATAATTCTAGTATATCAAATTGAATGGTATCGTGGGATGTCAGCCAATGAAATCGATATATCTACAGTGCACACGTTGCTCGATAGCCGTAGATCATTGATGAAAATTAACCTAGCGGCTACATTAAAAACGATATCGTAACAGAAAATTTATTCCTGATATTTTTCAAAAAATATACCTCTCATGTACACTTAACCGCTGCTCTGAAAACCATGACATTAGTAAGGGGATCCCATGGCATGTATTGTCAAAGCATACATTAGTCAACATAGAACGTGGTATGCGATGGACTCTCACAATGTTTGCATTCTAGTTTGAATAAGACTTAATTCTAAACAGTTGAATCCATACACAACATCCCATGTGCCTTAGGTTATTTCGTCACTTGAATGTGTGTCACTTTTCCAAATATCCGAAGCACTTAAAAAATTTTAAATTAGATTGATTCAATTAAATACTATTCGATTTAATTACGAAGAAGTTTATAGGTCTCCATTTAGAATTCACCCACACAGAGGTTGTCAGACGCGTTATCGCTCGCAGTCGCTGTATGGCCTTCAAATTAACAGTTTCACTAGTCCACCGTGAGAAGAGCTCACCCGAGGTACAGGTTAGGAGCATAGCTTGATATTTTATACGATAAAACCTCTGTGGCTGAGATAACACAATAAGTGAACTCGTGACAGACCCAACGCATTAAATATTGTCATATTGTCTCGCAATAGTTAAGCATCATTAACTATTGGGAAAATAGTAAATCTTTTCAAGTGCGCTCTGGTCCAAGCGAATTTTGGTTGAAGAAACATAATTTATTGATGCATGACAAGATTAATTGATGCCTACCGATTATTGCCGTTCGCTACAGTCCTAAATAAACTTTAGCGACATACAATATGCATCTTCATAATCGTTATCAACAAAAAGCGATATTTTCTAAAATATCAAATTTGTACAAGCCATCCGAGTTACTTTTAAATTGACATATTCTTTCTGCGATAGTTCAGTTATCGGTCCCCACTTCAGTTTTGTCCGCCAATATTTGTGGTACAACTTCTACACTCAATAATTCTTCACATTTTAGCGTTGGATCGATTCTCGGCTCAAATCCTTCGCGTTTGATTTTGTTTTGAGCCGCGCTAAACCTCGTCACTATAGAAGCATCTTTTCGCAACATCTAGTCGATTACATCGAGAATTACTAATGCTTGCTCGTATGTTATAGCCTCAGTTTTGGTGAGCGTAGGAATTCGAGCCACCCTTGTCACACCAGCAACAACTCCTATGGATAAGCGTATTTCAGGGTCGACTTATCTTCTTTCATGTGTTCTTAAACTGAAATAACAATGAACGTTGAAACAGCAATAAAGACGAAAGTTTGCCTTCAGCCTTATCAACCGTGTTTACGAAACTGGCGAAACCACACAAGTGCAATGATTAAACATTGTATACGGAATGTTAGTTGTGACCACACAAGCGCAATGAAAGGTGTTGGATACAAAATGGAAGCTGTAATCATATAAGTCTAATGATTAGGTCATTGGATACGAAATCCAAGCAAGAACATCGGGCAAACGACATCAATGCATTGCCGAGTAACGGACAAGTGTGAAGTGTCAGACAATTTTACGGCCGTACTCCCGGCAGGTGCTTACTGTACACTAGGTCTGCACTTAATAACCGCTACACCGTGAGCCGCGACTAGGAAATGTAGTAAAGAGCAAGATACAAATAATTCGGATATAATCATACCTGCAAACACTTGACATTATTTGTATTGAGATTTGATGCAGAAATAGAATGCTTTTCCAACGGCAAGAAGTGCCAAGACGAAACGGTCTAAGTTAATCAATAGAAAGTGAGCAATACATCGCTCACTTTCACATTGCATTTTCATATGCTCACTTGGCGTGTGTGTATGCAATTATTTCACGAGCATCGACAACAGGAAAGAATGTCAAATAGTTTTCGCACAAAAAATAATAAGTCAAATATAACAGCACTACATTGATCAAGGACACGAGTCTTACGCCCTTCAATGAAGCAAACAAGTTCACATTCCATTACTTCTTACTCTAATAAATTCGGAACTATTCAACTTACGAAACTTGGGTTTCGAAAACTGACAAAGAATCATTTCATGAGTTTATAGGTATACAATAAATCCAAGTTGAACACTAAGCAAGATAATTAAGGAAAATGAAACAAAATTTAGCACTAAATTCAAGAATTTAATAAATCTTACGTACAAAAATATGAAATCTTAGCTGGTAAGGATAACTCACTGGTATGCAAGATCAGATTTCATCTTATCTACGTAAATGAAGCTAATGCTGCTTTATCATTCTTTGAACTGAACAATCAAGGCTCTATAATACTGAGCTAAAACAATGTTTTTTTAATTGCTAATATCACCTCAAAAAGCTTCTTTGCAAGTGGATAAATCGTAATATTTTACGTTAGAATGCAACCTAAGAAAAATTAAACAATAAACGGAGATTCCAACCGGTCACCCAATGATTCATCATAACAAAAACAAGCATAATGCAGAACACAAGCATAATGCAGAACAGAAGTGCATCAGTGTATCGAAAATTTAGCTAACGATTGTGATCAACTTTAGGCCGATACGTCCGCGGCTGGTGTTTACATTGATGACCGATACTTGGACGACGTTTCCAACCTGCAAGCGGGAGCCGTTCAGATTACGAGTGTGAATCAAGCCATCTTGGCCAACGCCGATATCAACAAACACGCCGAAGGTTGTCACGTTCCTCACACTTCCAGTTAAGAGTTGACCTGTTTTTAGATCAGCCCTATTAGTGACTCCTTTCCGGAAAATAGGCTTATGAAATTGTGCCCTGAAGTCGAAGTCCAAAGGCTGGTATAAACTCTCCAAGATGGTTTTAAGTGAAGATTCGGAACAGTTACATTTCTCACTTATTTCAAGTAAACTATGTCGTGCCATGAAATTTTTGAGTGCATGAATGAATTCATGGTCGCCAATATTGATAATATCGAGTGACGCCAAAGAAATGAGCGACTTTGCAGATTCATATGACTCGGGATGCACTGTCGTGGAGTCCAATGGGCAAAGAGGTGCAAGATTGCTTTTAGCGCGCTGCCTCAAGGTTTGAGGGACTATTTTAACAAACGTACTCAAGGAGGGGGTCCTGCAATCGACGAGCCAGAGACACGGCACTGATGTGGTTAATGTCCATGCCAGGGAACTCAGCGCTTGCCTCGTTCGTAATCGAATACTGAGAAGCACCAGACTCGTTAATAATTGTGTACTGAACATTCAGTGCACCAAAAGCTTCTTCGCTGATAAGCTTGCTCAGCCACGCCTCAGTTTCTCTGCATGCTGTACCGTTGCCGATGGCAATGACTTCGCAGAGATACTCGGAGACGAGTCTGACGAGAGTTTGTGCCGCAGCTTCGTTTCGAGGCGCCGCGAAGGGAAATATTGTGTCAACAGCCAATACTCGTCCTTTGCGTTCAACGACAGCAACTTTGCATCCTTTGGCAAAGCCAGGGTCGATGGCGAGGACAGTGTTTGCTCTGACGGGTGGAGTTAGAAGAAGGTGGCGTACGTTCGTCACGAAGACTTCAATAGAAGAGAGTTCTGCCGTGTCACTTAGCTCACTTCGCACCCACAATTTCAGGCTTGGCGACACTGTAAAACCCAAACGAAACCTCAAACAAGGTGGAAACAAAGATGCACTACGTTGAGACGTAAAAAAAAAACAAATCAATTTCCTGCCTCCCATATCCTAATTATGGATATAAAAATTGATAATTACGGATATAAAAAAATCTTGGTCTGGTCAATATTTACAAAATGAGACCTTATCAAACACGGCAATATGATAATTTGAACCGAGATGTAAGTTTATATCACCTAAAACTACAATTGATCAGATTTTTCCTCGTAATTTTTCAAACTAAAATCCTAACAGCACGAACAGCAATAGTAATATATTTATACAAATTTCAAAACAATTTCTTATACTAGTGGAAAAAATTTGTAGCAACTTACAATATAGAAACTTTTGTTATAAATTCACCAGAAAACGTTTACAAACATTCTTGGAATTATACTGGTCCACAATTGAACTTTATTACCGTCTCACAGATCGAGCAGTTTTAAAAATTGACTGATTTTATGTAGTAGATTTAAAAAATATAACACATTGATTTGATCACACCGTCAACATTTTATTACACTAAATTAGTATAACAGTAACAATAAGCATAATAACAATGACGACAATAAAATAGACTTTAATAAATCATTATTATTCATTGAAAACTTGATGAATATGCTATCACACAAGAATAATGTTTGATAGAAAGTATCTAATTATACTTTGCAGGTCATCAGGAAATGTTACTTTATTTCAGGGATACTCTCGACAAACTTACGACCAGTGATGTTGGTTCTAGAACTTTTATTGCCAGAACCTATAAAGGATCTTACCCAGTCTATCCCAACAATCCTGCAGGGTGTCCAGTAACAAGCGCACCCCGTAGGACTCTCCGTATCCATGTCCAAGGTTACGGTTTGTGGATCCAAGAAAATTTCGGTGAACGTGCGAACAAAACCGGTGGTAGGCTTCGTCTGGGGGCACCACTTTCACGGTCAACACGCCTTGCTGCTCGCCTCTGTTTATGGCGCAGATCTGGAAAAATGGTCAATTGTATTTTCCATACCAATACTCTTCTGTTGATGAATCATTTTGAAAAATAATTTACAGAGACACGCATGCGCAGAATAGACAGTTATATGAACAAAAATGGATTCCAAAAGTATCATATCAATGACACACATCCGCTAAATTGGAAATGATGAAACACACCAGCAATATCCACAATTTCCACATGCTCTAAAATCAGCATCGTGCGCAAAAACAAAAGCATATGAAAGCATGTTAATCAAAGATTCGTGTACATTCCATTGTGGTTTTCTTTACAGAAAATTTATGATACTTCACGTCTACCGACAAATAAATATTTCTGCCAATTATTTTACTACTAGAAAACGCAGCGTTATCATACCTGATATTTGAACATCCCGTTACCCAAAATCCAAGTATCACAAATACCATTACCCCGAATCCCATCAATATGGAATGGATCCTTTCATCTTACATCCTTTTAACATGAATCTGTCACTGCAAATCCCGTTATCCCGAATCACATAGCACGGAACAACGTCATCCCAAATATAGTTACATTATTTTCTTTACAATAAAGCACAGAAAAACACGAAACTACAGTCTTTAGGTCTTACAGCATGAGAAGCCACTCGCCAGGCCACCAAGCTAAATTCGAAGTACTGCTTGTATTTTTGGATCACGTCATCCGACAGGGCAGAGTCGCCTTTCTTCGTGGCTGCAGTGCCACCCAAACTTTTGCGCTTGGCAAGAACCTTCTTAGGCTTCAGGGGTGACTTCTTCAACTTGGATAGAACTTTGCGAGAAGGACTAGAGACTAGCTTCACACTGCTTCTTTTCAACCTGGATACATTTTGTAGAATTAGGTTAGATATATTGAAACACATCAAATAAATTATTCAGTTTAAGATTTAAAATTCATCATCATCACCATACAGTGAGATATTACAAGAAGCTACAAAATATTTAATTTAGTTTCATTTGTATGTGTTGTTCTAATAAGTGTTATTAGAACAACCCATCCTGTACACAATGACGCAGATATGCGTTCTTTAACAGACAAACAATCAACAAAACAAAGCTCACCAAGTTTTCATCTCTTCCAACATCTTTGCATTTTTACTGATGATATCAGCAATGATGTACTTGATGCCGGACTCAACATCGTCGATGGTGCCGCGTCCTTGCATCCCTGGAACCACCCACTTCTGGAGTTCATTTCTAGTGGCTACGGCGTCTCGGTTACGAAGAAGCTCTTCTGCAGCAGGCGCCAACCCTGCCTTACGAGCTCGATTAGCAAAAGTTCCCTTGCCTGTGGTCCGTAGACTTGCACTCANTGGTCAGAAACAATTTTCGACACCTTCAGCTTTACTTCTTTCAGCTGCTCATAGGAGCTCAAAACCTCGCGAAGTTTTCCGATCTCCAAGTCGCCAGTTTTCTCTCGCCTGTATCGTGCTATGAATGGCAACGTACACTCTTGGTCCACTAACCTGATGATTTCTCGAGCGTGGTTAACATCTATTCCTTGCCGCGATGATATCACCTGGGCAGGATCCCAATTACAAGAAATATTTGTTGGAGATTTTGTTTTCTTGACACTCTGCTTTTCACAGGAAGAACTTTGTCTGCTTGACTCTGCGCCAGGAATACATGATTTCAGCTCAGCACAAGATGAAGAAGGCTTTGTCTTAGCAGGAGAAAACTCCGAAGAAGTTGACATGTCAAGAGACATGATGGAAAACTCAGCATTAAACGTCTCTAGTTCCGGTAAAGCCTCCTTGTATTTGCTAGTAATTGGGGCCTTTGCGTGAGTAGATACACCAATCCCACGACTGGGCGGGTGGCTTTCATTATAGAATGGACCGCTTTTATTAAAATGACATCTACCATTATTGTAAAGCCAATTACCTTGATTGAAAAGCCCATTTCCTTGATTGAAAGGCCCACTTCTTTGATTGCAAGAACCACTTCCTCGATTGTAAGAACCACTTCCTTGATTGAAGGGCCCACTTCCTTGATTGTAAAGTCCACTTGCTAGATTGTGAGGCCCACTTTCTTGATGGTAAGGCCCACTTCCTTGATTGTAAGGCCCGCTGTCTTGATTGTAAGGTCCACTTCCTTGATTGTAAGGTCCACTTCCTTGATTGTATGGCCCGCTGTCTTGATTGTAAGGCCCGCTGTCTTGATTGCGAGGCCCCCTTTCTTGATGGTAAGACCTACTTCCTTCATTGTAAGGCCTATGCCCTTGATTGTAAGGCCTATTCCCTTGATAGTAAGGCCCTCTTCCTCGATTGTATGGACCACTTTCCTGATTGTGAAGCCTGCTTCCACCTGCAGATTCTGAAATGACAAGTTCATTTTTTCGACTGCAAGCTTCACTTTTTCTGCCGTAATCCCCTGTCTCACCCACTTGTTCAGTTTTGTACAATTTTAACTCCGCTTCTACGTTAGTTGGATTGTTCTCCGAAGCTGGCTCCATTTTTAAAAGGGGCATTTCTGGTGAGTCATCACCGTCACATTCATGCTCATGCTTAAGTGCATCAATGATTGGTAGCTTATTGGCAATTTTCAACATCCTTGATGAGGATGAACCATCGTTATTATTGAATTCTTTTAGATAGTGCTCAGTTTTTAGATCATCAGAATGTTCAAAGGCCTCACCGGGCAATTTTGGTTTCTTTGTGACAGTAGTTTTGTCTGTTGATTTAAGTTCACCTTTAACCGGAACATGAGAATCAAGGCACAATGAATCTTTATGTTTTACAAGTTTTGAGCATTTCAGTTTAACTTGAGCTACAGGAATGAACTCCACGAGTTCATCGGAAGCAACAAGTCTTGGTCGTCTTAGTTTTAATGGGGCACCAGAACTCAAGGGTACAAAGTCTTCAGATTCAGTGGGTTGATGAGAAGACCCTGAAGCTTTGTTGACTTCTGAAGACTCCGCATTTGTTAAGGAATTAGTAATTGCTACACGTTTGCCAGTTGAAAGCTCCAACACATGCTGAAAAAAATATACGTATTTCATATCAAAATCTAAAACTGCAATTAGATGTATAAATTGAGAAATAAAAAACTCTTACCACACTCTAAATCAATAGAAAAACTAAAAAAAATGACTTGGGAGGTGTGAGATACTTTAGTAAAATGTAAGTATAAGTGTAAAATATATTCAGTTTGCATATTTGTCCACATTAGCTCACAAGATCATGTACCCATGAAAACTTCGAGATTAAACTCCCACATTTCAATAACTACAAATTATATCTAATAAGTAATAATAGATTTTACAATAAATTTGATAAAATTTAATAGTAGCTAAGTTAGCTAACCAATAAAAAAAATCAAATTACTTCATCAGGTCCATCAGGTTGTTTACATTCAACAATGAGAGGCACGTCAAGGACTTGAGCATGAACTGTGCGTGCACTGCGGCGTTGAGGTCTGGGTGGCACATACTCTCCAACTATTTCCACGTAATCATCATCTGAAAGGAATACAATCAATACAAGAGCAATACAAAGAAAGTTTACTGACCACTTCAATCTTTCTGAGCAATCCTTCTCAATTAAAGAAGACCACTTACTTCAAATAATTCAGTGTAGATTAGATGGCTGAAAATTAATAAGAAGAAATTTTATACAAAAATTTTTCTTTATCTTTCAATCAATTGATAAGCAGAAGAAATTTGAAACAAACAGTTCTCTTTGTCTTTAAATTAGGAATAGGTAGGCAGTGCAAACTCATAAGTATAATAGTTGTCAGAGTCAGATTATTCAAGATGTAGGTATTTGATGAATGATTATTTTGATGAAGATTCTGTTCTTTGATGATTATGTTCACATCCAAGAACAAATTTGGGTTATTTATTATTCAGTGTTGATAAATTTTAAAAGAATTTAGACATTCAATAACTAAAATTGCAGTACCGGTAGTTTAACACGTTGACTACGAAGTGGTACATATGCGTACCACGAAATGTAGGTATTTCTCCAGGACATAGTGATACATAATTAAGGTTGCCTAAAATCGGCCAAATCCGAGAACAAAAAAGGCCGATAGCTCAATATATACGGTACTAGTTTATTTGTAGCTTCTGCCATTAAAATTCCATTTATTTTCTTTTTGCAGTATTTAAAATTTAATTAGGAAGTACCCCTAACATAAATTTTAGCCGGCCAATGCAATTGAGAAAAATTAAATCACGGAATTTGTTTGGAAAAAATAACCTTCTGGCAAAACTGTTTAAAATGGTAGGTACTAAAAATAAAATAATAGTACAAGATGAAGCAATCGCAGTCAACGTGTTAAGACACATTTGAGCAAAGTCACATACAATTCTTTTTTTTTTTAACAAAAAGTTGTTTACATAATTCCTACCTTTTTAACAAAATTATGCAATAATTTTGTAATAAAAAGGTAGGCACTGCCTACCTGTTTTAACAACAAAAAAAGAGTAAGAAAATTTGGTAGAGAGAGGTTAAAAGAATAATATTTAGAAACCAGATTAAATTGAAGATGATCTTTTCAATTAATTTCAAGTTGTAATAAAAACTTATTCAACATACATATTTCAATGCTACTTGAATAATAATCATGAAATAAACCTTATTCTGATTCTTTATTTTACCTGGAACTACCATAGCTTGTTTTTTTGTTGTTGGTGGTAGCCATTCTGAGTCATCCAAGTTGATGGTGTCATCTATGTCTAGGAAAAAAGACATACACTCTCAATATTTCTTGGACATTGGGCTGGCAAGTTTACATTTGGAGGGTAAATTGTAGATTGTGCGCATTAGCAAATACATACGTATATTTATATATATATATAAATATATATTTGAATTTTGATCCATAGCCCAACAGGATTGGTAACATTATCAGACAGGAGACAAAAAACTGGATAAGAGTGCATCCGGTTATGCACTCTGTAATTAGTTTTTACTAGAAAACCAGACGCAAAAATAAATCAACTACTGTCAAACAGGGTATTAAGGGACAATTTTTAGTGCATTTTCTCATTTATGAAAAAAAGGTGCTATTCACGGATGGACGGACAAGAAAATGCGCTCCCTGTCAGTCAATGCAGTGAGTATATACTGATCTAATTTTTCATTTTTTCTTGTTGATAACTTCTTACCATGAAACATTTCATAAACGAGTTTTGTCTTATTTTAAAGGTCTTTGTAAGGGCCATCATATGGCATAACTAAAAAAAATCTATTTACTATTCATATGGTGCCAAAAGAAGAAAAAAGTTGCCCAAATTAACCCCTGGGAACGGGGTAATCCAGGACACTAGAAATAAAACTTAATTTTAAAATGTTTCAAGCAAGCAGAGAGTGCTCACCCATTACTAACAGTACTCTGAAGTACTACTCTTAATTTGTAGATGATGTAGAAGTAGAATAAGTGACTTTTCTGTGGTTTGTACTTGTTTTCCTTTATAATATTACCCATCTATTTTTCATCAACAAAAATTTTTTTTTCCAATCTATACCCTCAAACAGGGTAATAAGGGATGGGTGGGATAAGTAGGGACAGTCCTCTGCCATGGCGTAAAAATGTTATAGCAGCAAAACTAAATTAAATATTGTAAAACTAAAAATAGTGGCATAAACTTCAACATTTTTCCTATCTATGTAGCATAAAAAAAGTTAAGAAATCATACATTTACTAGCACTAAGAAATCCCTGAAAAAATGCTAAAAAAGATATTTTGAAAACACACGTACTTATGTTAAGGTCTGTAGTAAAAAAATATTCACCATATTAAAGAAATTTTGCTTGAAAAAAGTTTCAGACAGGTGTTCAACAAGACAGGGTATAAAAAGACACCCTTCCTACCCCTGAGGATAATATGGAAGATCCATAAAAATGCATTTACAGTAGAACCTTGGCAAGGTTAGCAAAGGCTCCAGTTAATGAAAAAATGGGCTAATGACACAGGATTTTAATTATATCTAACTTGCTCAGCAAAAAAATTGCACTTGATGAAAAATTAATGCATCATTGGTCATCACAAAATTTTGCATAGAATGTCATAGGTAGCATTTTGCACCAGGCAACATATAATAAAAATAATAAAAATAAATCAACTTAAACTATGATTTATTTCTCCAAAAAATATGAAGGTTGTCACTAAAATATTCCTCCCTGTTTCAGGTATTTTTTATGATATTTTTGTGTATAGTGAATTCACTAGACCCAATTAAAATGGTGCAAAGTTACAAGCCCTCTATCTGGTCATTCTGGGCATACCATCTGGTCAATCTTTAACACAAATACATGGTTTTATGTGGGTTTTCCAAATTTACTTGAAAATTATTTTAAATACCAGTAGTCATTTAATTTTTTCAAAGTTCTAGGGTATAAGTATGTATGTGCACAAACCACATGCAGATCATAACAAACATACATGCCAAAATGGCGGACAGGCATTTTTTTCATTTGTCCACAGGAGGCATTCACTTTTAAAAGACCTGCCCAACAGGTAGCTTAATTTGAGTAAGGTGTATATATTTGGAAATGAATGAAAAAAATTGAACTATGACAAGATCATCTTGTTTTTCAATGAATTTCTATTGTCTACTTGGTTGGTTGGGATTTGTAAAGAGTACCACTATGTGCCAAAAAATAAACTTTGATATCGTATTTGGAAGTTAATGAAAGATAACAGAAAGTCAAGATTACTGTTCCTAGAGCATGCTCTCAAAATTTTAGAGCTCTGCAGCTGTTTGCACAGCAATTTCTGAAATCTGTAAAAAGGCGGTTTTTGAGTCAGTACCTAGGCTACCTATCATTTACCTATCATTTACATATCACTTACATATCATTTATCTATCATTTACCCATCATTTATCTATCATTTACCCATCAATTTCTGTCATTTACCCATCATTTCCCATCATTTATCCATCATTTAATTGTCATTTAGCCATAATTTTTCCATCATTTTCCCATCATTTTCATATATTTTCAAATCATTTAACTATCATTTTCCCATCATTTATCCATCAGTTACCCATCATTTAGCAATCATTCATCTATCATATAATAAATGCATTAATGAACACCTGCATTATTCATTCATCAGTTATTTATCTCTATTTATCATTAATTTATCATTCATTTATCAATCATTTATTGGTCATTCAGTGTTCAATCATCGTTCATTCATCATTCATTCATCAATCGTTCATCATTCATTCATTCAACATTCATTTATCAATCATTTAAGAATAATTTTTCATTCATTTATCTCTCCTTCATTCATCATTCATGTATCATTTATTTATAAGTCATTTGTCTTTCATTTAAATTTATTTATTATTTATTCATCCAACTTGAATTTATTCTGTTCAATTCTGCCTTTCGTTAAATACCACACTCAGGATTATGTACATTTTCAGGGAATTTTCCCGCGCATTTTGACTTTTTTTAAGCCATCGCTGAGCACAGTTGGTGCAACTTCTGGCCATCCCCGCTTGCGCGCGCAAGCGTCGACGCAGCGCACGCAAGCGTCGGCGCAGCGCACGCAAGCGTCGGCGCAGCGCGCACATACATTTTGTCAAGGGACAAGTGACAGAAAACATATAATACTCAATATGCATTTAATTATCCATCAATAATCTATGATTTTCCTTGATATGGAAATTTTGTGAAAGTAAAAATCTAGAAATTTATTTTCGAAGAAATTTTCTACAAATATCTAACACTAACTGACGAACATCATTTGTTTACCTTCTGTAGACTGTCTGGAAGTGAGGCAATATTCCGTCCGGGCGTGAGGCAAGTGGTGAATAACCAAGTCCTCAAAAATTGGGCATATGAAGTAAACAAATATTAGTATTAAATGACAGATTTTGCTTGTTCTATATATACTATTAGTGCGCTGATATGGTTATTAAAGATTCTACGGTTAATGAAAGGAGTCAGAAATAATTTCATTATTGTAATTAATGGAAAATAGTTTTGAGTGCAAAATCTTTTGTAAATAAAATATGTCTAGACATAATAGTCAACAGAAATTCCCAACATTTTCTTTACATACTTTTACGCAATGCTGATTCATCGTCATGTATGTGATGAGTCTCTTGAAGGTTGAAGCTATTCATATTTTATTAATGTTTGTTGTTAGTCTATTTAATTAACCTTCAAAGTTGCAAAAAATGAGAACTGATCATTTAAAAAAATTGTGGTTCCTGTATTTATGTTTTCAATGGGTTTGCACCGCACAAACCCATTTCTCCAGCCGGGAGGATGTCAGGAACGTAACATATTCCTGACATTGACATTAGGGTTTGTACTATTTGCCAAAGTAAGTCCTTCGTTGGAAGGAGCCAATTTCAAGCCATGTGGATTGTTGCCTTCTACTATTCAGTTTTGTAATTAATTGCCAACCGAATTGTTATCTATGAAAGTATGAATAATGAATAAATATTCATAACATTGCCGACTCTTAGAAACTGAGTTAACACATTAGAAATCTAGTCAACGTGATGCAGATATTTGTTCGTGTGTGATAGCATTGCCGTGCATTCATCTTTAAACAACTTTAGGAGCACGGCGCAGGCTGGCGCACGGTGCACTTTTTTACTGGCATATTAAGGCGCACGGCGCAAATTGATGCAATGATAATGAAAATTCCCACGCACCTGGCACATCTTCCTGACCATGGGTTAAATATAGATCATTTATATCAGTGGTTCAATATATCAAAGTGGGCGATATCGCCCCCCTAGGGGCGGTGGAACGATTTTGGG